CCCGGTCAACATTCCACATTCCATCCCTCTCCCGAATTTGCAAGCCAGCGCCAACAACCCGGAAAGCCTGCTGGCTGCCGAACAACAGCCCCCAACTCACACACACACACACACACACACACACACACACACACACACTCACAGGCACAGGACACGTGCACTGAAGGGCTTTGCAACTTGCAGTCCCGGGGTACACACTGCACGTTCCTTTCAGGCGGCGAATGCTAAGCGACCCCACCCCCACAATTTGCAGATGGTGCCAAAGGTTGCAATTTGCAATCCGTTTTACTAGTAAGTTCATGGTTAATCGGTACTTTGCTCTACCAATGCAACTCCTTCCTAATTTTACCGAGGAAGTGCTTTACACTTTACAGGCAGTCTCGCTGTAAGTAAAAGGTCTGATCATTGGAAACCCAATTTGGAAGAATCTAATTGCCAAGCTGTCCCTCCACCCCCTGCTCACTGCCCTTGAATTGATGCAATGAATATTTTGGACATGTGGTGACGCGGTGACAAGAGCCGGGGCTGTGGCCACCCTACACAATGTACCTCTACGCACACACACAGACACACACACACCTATACTTAGACAAATATAGTCGTCCCCCTCCCTCCACGGTCACACACACCCTGGATCCATGTATGTATGCGAACCTGCGTTCTGCCATTGCCATCTGTCTACCAAGTTGCTACTATGCTTCCCACTTTCATGCAGCCTAATGCACTTTGGGCCAACTAAACTCGGCTTCTGCTGCTGAACGCGTTTAATTGATGCTTCACCTGAAAACCGCATGTTCTTCACAAATCCAAAAGAAGGAAAAGCTCTAAGTCTTCAGGCCCCCCAACATTGAAAAATAATCATAGTAAAACTTACTGATCCAACATAAATCAATTCTCAGGCTCCAAAAATCATCCTCTCCTCCTCCTCCTCCTCCTCTGGCCCCCGCCCCGGCAAAGCCCAAGTTACTGGTGGGATAGTAAGGCTGCGCTCGCCGGCTGCCTGCCCTCCCTCCTCGCTACGTATCGAGAACCCAATCTTTTGGCGCCATATTAATGACGTACTATATTATTTCCACTAGGCAGCGACCTTCGGCATTAAATTACTCCCGAGAACTCCCGAGCAAAGCAACAAAACCATCAAATATGGCTGAGCCTCTCGGCTCGTCCTG